GGACACTGACCCTCGCATTGGTGAAATAGGCACCTGCTACACAAGCTGTGTGGGTTCGAGCGTCGTCCCCCTGGCGGTTACACCATGTTTACACCGGGCTTGCGACGGACTTACGACCGAAAAATGCCCATCGATTGTGCTCACTCTCATGAACTCGTAGTGGGGTAGCGGTGGGGTCTCAGTGAGGTCCTTATCATCGCCATCAATCGCCATTACTCGCTACCGGTCGTATCGAGTTGTGCGAGTGTATGGAACTGTTCCATACACTCGCACAAGTTTTGCGACCGCAAGCGAGCGGTCCAACTCGCAATGAGATCGCAAAATCGGTCGTAACCTGATCACACAAGTCTCACAGGACTTGTAATTTGGTCGTATGTCATGAACTCGCATTCGCTCGCAATGGGATCGCGTTGTTTTTGCGTTCCTTTATTTCTTTCTCTCAGTATATAACTTGGGGTAAGTGAACCCTAATCATGTGTTGTTGAGACGTTTTATACGTGGTTGAAGAACCCCCTACCAACATATGTGCGGGACATTGATATACTGAGAGAATCAAGTAAGGAAACATAACCCTCCCTTATTTGCGGTCATCTTTACAAGGATTGTTACTGTGCTTCAGATTGGAATAGTATATGCAATGATTATGTTCCTTTACTTTCTCTTAGTAGATTACTTAGCGTTAGGAACGTTGCTAAACCCAACTTGACACACTCAGAGCGGCATAAGCAAAACAATAACAAAAATAAAAAGTCTGACATGTTTATTAGTAACAATGAAAGTAATAATGAATGTTATCACAGTACATAAATGTACGTGTCTCACACACCACACAAACATAGACATGTACACAGTCATATAGATGTCCATATAGCACACTGCTTGTCTCAAAAGTCATTCACAAATCCTGGTCCTGAGGTGTGGGTCTGAGGGTCACCATTCTGTCCGGCCAATGAACTGCTCCCCGGGCTTCATCGTTGAAGTATTCTTGAAGGTAAAGCTTCTGAGACTTCCCAGTTTTATGGTCACGGTTTAGAGGCTCAGGAGAAGCATTGTCTTCATACAGTTGTAGCCCTTGCTTCCATCCACCTAAGATGAGTCTGTGATTTTCACCCTCATGGTCACCCTCTGTGTTCGTGATGTCTGGGTACCTGGACCTCAGGAGGTTGCGAACTACTATACAGGACTCTGTCATGGTCTGGACAATTTCGGGGGCTTGATACAACACAGTCCTCAGACACCTCCATCTGTTAGCCACGATATCGAAAGCATTCTTGACCACACGTCTTCCTCTGGATATGCAGTAGTTGTATATCAATTCTTCTTTGCTCATGTTCCTCTTGGCCACTGGTTTCATTGGATATGTTCTTAGGACAAAAGTAGCATCGGCCAATATGAAATATGGCAGGTTCTTTTGTTCAAAGTCTTCATCAGGCCCAGCTTGCTCAATAGGCTCAGAAGGTACAACTGTCCAAGCGATGTTTCAGATCAGACGCATTAAAGATTTGGGCGTCTGACTGGTGTCCAAGACCTCCGGTATCCACCCACAAGAATTTGTAGTTGTGGTCCACAAGCGCCAGGAGGATGATGGAGAAGCAGCTTTTGTAGACACGCCAGTAGTTGCTTCTGCTCTGCGCAGGTGCCCAGATTTTGATGTGCTTTCCATCTAGGGTCCTTATGGCATGAGGCACTTTCCATCGAAGTTCAAATGTCTGGCTATTTCCTTCCACTCTTCTGGTGTAGTAGGAGTCTTGAATACCTCGTCTCTGTAGGCCTCCAGGATAGCCCAGCAAACTTGGGATACCATATGCTGTGCGGATGACTTGCTGAGCCTGTAGCTGTAGGCCATGCTTGGATACTGGTCACCACTGGCTAAGTGTCTCAATGTCAGTGAGTTTCAACCCTGCTTCCAAAGAGAGTCTGTAATTGGTTACTTCTCCTGTAATGATGGGCCCTATTCTCTCTAAAATTTCATCGAAGAGCTCCACGGGCATTCTCATGTAGTTCCGGAACTGAGATGGATTCTCCTGCTTCAACCTTTGAACAAGGTGGTAGTACTGACAGTGCTCTTGTCTCCAGTTTCTGACCAAAACCTCACGTCCTTGCCTTCTTCCTCTTCTCCTATTACATTCTCTGATTAATGCCAAGGTGTTGTCGATAACGTCGTTCAAGTGTGCTTCTGCTTCAGCTTGCAGGGCAAGGGCCAATACCATTTCAATGTCCATCTTTTATGTATGTTTTGCAGCCCACTCTCCAATGGGGACTTGGTGAAGTGGCATAGGTCTCAATATGTCCTGAAAAAGGTCCTTATTGTCCTACTTGAGTCGCATGAATAGCAAACATGGTCTTACTACTCGTACTCCAGTCGCAAGTCAGTCGCAGATGTTATCTCTGTGGTCTCAACCAGGTCGGCGTCACTCGGCACAAACTCGCCGTGCAGGGGCTCCTTTCGCAAAGCAACCTTTACTAAGGCTAACCTTAACTCCCATTCTTTAACATTGCACTATGGTTACCTTAGTGACTTATGATCACCTTAGTGTTTTGTGAAAGGAGGCCCAGGTCACCAGTACGCTCGCACAAGGGGGCATGACCACATTGCGACCCAGTTGCGATTTATAAGACCGATCGCATCAGTCTCAATCAAGTTGCCATAAAAATGAAAATAAAGAACTTTTGGTCATAGACAGGTCACACACCATATTCAGTGTAAACAGAAAGTCAAAATTGGTCGCTAAAAATGAAGTTGCGGGGGTTCCTTGGTTCAAAGTCTTCGTCAGGCCCAGCTTGCTCAATAGACTCAGAAGGGGGGATACGAAGTGTTCAGTCCGTGCGTGTCTGTCCGTGCATCCGTGCATCCATCACACTTTGTCCAAAGCATATCTGCTAAACTATTCGTGATAGCTTAAAGGTCACATGCAACGTAAAACACAACTTTGCAGATTCTGATACCTTTCGGTATGGACTTACCGAAACAAATCGTCAAAAATGCAAATTCAACTTATAAAGTTGAAAAATAACGCGATGAAAAAACCCGCGCGAAATCGGTGTTCAAACGTTTCACTAATTTTCCCCTGACTTTTCTGGGGAAAACGGGTTTCAACAGCTGGGCTGCGCTTATAGCACGTGCACAGTAAAGTAGGTTCGCGCAGCTTGGAAGCGGTTGTCCGGTGAATACTCGGTGAAGGCTTTGGTGTGAGCTATTTTTCTAATGTTTTGTTGATATCTCACAGGCGCGAGCTTTTTATATGTTATGACAGTAAACTAACTGTCTATATAATTTCATTTGTCTATTTCACCACACGTTCTTCTTACCGAGTCACTTTCTCAGTTCGATACTTAAAAGCAATGCCGTTATTTAGCGTTGACAGAATTTCCAACTGTGATATAGATATGTCGTTGTCGCAGACTAAACTCAATGTCTTGTTTTATTGACACCTGTGTGTCTGCCTGCCTGTCTGCTAATGACAATATTCAATACACAACTGCTATCACTGACCACATGCAATTTGAACTTAACACCAATCAAGCTATACACCATAAACAAAATGCATTGATTTATGGCCCGAGTTCGGTCTCTGTCACATTATGTAATTACACAGACAGGCAGGCGTGATACTTGAACACATGACATGTTATGATGTCTGTTGATTGCAAAATGTTATACACAAAAAATGAGCATGTATTTACAAAATCCAACATCTCTATATATACACACACAATGACCCGTGAGGGCATCTGCAAATGAACCAGTCGTTACACTTGAGTGCACACCCACCCGCTCTGACTGGGTTCGGTATCCCGGGCTGCTTCATTTCTTGGGAAGTAAACCGAAGTACACAATATTGCACTTTTGATTTGCGATTGTACGCTTATAATTTTGTTTATATGTTTTTTTCATAACCAGCAATGTATATTATATGTCATGAATAAGTGATAATTGTGTTTTAATTATGTTTGATTTTTTGGTTGCATGTGACCTTTAACCAAACTTGGTGCACATGTCAGCCATGATCCCTAGATGAGCCTTTTGGGTTAGACCCAGATATGAATTATATTGTTTGCTGTTTCCATGGAAACATGACTTAGGCTGTGACTGTGAGGATGTTGTCTTGTCCAGAGCAGATCTTCCAAACTATACATGCTAGCTTCATCAAACTTGGTACATATGTCAAGCATGATCGATAGATGTGCCTTTTGGAGGTTAGACACAGATATGAATGTTATTTTTTGCGGTTTCCATGTAAATGTGACTTAGGCTGTGGCTATGAGGATGTCATCTTGTCTGGAGCAGATCTCCTAAACTATACATGCTAGCTTCACAAACTTGGTACACATGTCAAGCATGATCCATAGATGTGCCATTTGATGGTTAGACCCAGATACAAATTTTTCCATGGAAACGTGACTTAGGCTGTGACTATGAAGATGTCATCTTCTTGACATGACAACAAGTTAGGCTTCAACTGAATTTGGTGGTAGTGCTCCTTTCTGGAGCGACCCGTGAAGATCCGGGTAGAATAGGTCTTCAGCAACCCATGCTTGCCACAAAAGGCGACTATGCTTGTCGTAGGAGGCGACTAACGGGATCGGGTGGTCACGCTCGCTGACTTGGTTGATACATGTCATCGGTTCCCAATTGCGCAGATTGATGCTCATGCTGTTGATCACTGGATTGTCTGGTCCAGACTCGATTATTTACAGACCGCCGACATATAGCTTGAATATTGCTGAGTGCGGCGTAAAACTAAACTCACTCACTCACTCACCTTTCTGGAGCAGATCTTAAAAACCTTTCAATACCCTCCTTCCACTTTGCTATATACACTCCAAAACATTTGACATGGTCATAACTAGTAGACATATTCATAAAGAGTATTTTTCCGTTGCAGGGGGATATTGATGACTTTGTCTTCTGGTTTATTTTGTTGTGAATGTTATTTGTATATATATGCCTAAGAAAATGCTAAATGACAGTAATACATTGTACTGACATATTGTTTCAGATACTTCACAACTGATTGGCTACTTACTATACTTCTGGTCATATGGCACATTCACTGGCCGTGTGCTGTATGTTGAGGATCTGTATGTCTCTCAAAACCACAGGAGGAGAGGTGTTGCATCAGCTTTGTGGGAATTTGCAATGAAGGTACAAGGAGTAACAGTGAAAGTATCATATTCATTTTAATGGGTTTGGATCAGTTTCATCAGGTTTTATTGTGTCCATCCATTCCTCCATTAGGTTCCATGAACATTTTTTTTTCAAATCTACTGGAAATATCAACAACACAATTTGATATATATTATTTGGATAGCTTCAGAAGAAAATCATTATGATCTAGGAAACACCTGACACATTGCAGATAGAGTGCACATGTCCTCAGCCTTGTCAGGTCAGGTCAGGCAATATATACCAGCCACTAAAAGAAACGGTGCACATAAGAAATAAAAATATATTGGAACTACTTGTGGACACAGTAATTTGTGAAATGAACACATATGCATATACATGTGTCAAAGTCAAAAGAGGTTTATTGTATGACAGGCCTACAGCCCATTTACATGAGAGTTACAGATATAAAGGAATATCTTGGATATTTACATATATCTTTAAGGGTATACAATTCGTTTTATAAGAAGTTCTCTTTTTGCTAATGCATGCTTTATATACAAAGACAATTGTACAAGAATATTTTCATTATTAGTTTGTAACAAAGACACATATATGCACATAGGGATTGTTTTGCTAGAAAATGGTCTGGTATATATTTCTGTTTTAATTCGTGATAACAAGGATTTATCAGTGTAAATGAATTTCATCTTCTATTCCTACGTTACATAAAGGACAATATCGACTTTCTTTCTCGACAGATGTTTTTCTACCCTCATTAATCATGAAAGATAACAAACCTAAACGATATTTACCAAACATTGTTCTTAAACTACTAGTATATGTTGTAATTATTGATAAATAGTTTTCTGTCCGGAGAAACATTTTAAAGGTCCTGTAATATTCAAATAGTGAGCTTGAATCAAAGGTGGATTTCCATTCTTGATAAAACATATCTATTGATCCAACATGAAATTCATTAATAAACCTGTTCACATCGCCAACTATATGAAACTGAAACCGTGAGAAAATAGTAAATTTCTGATAACAGTTGTCCAAGTATGTTATCCCAAATTATCCAGATTTAAGAGCATATTGTAAGTTAATTTTGGCAGACATTGTTCGTTTATATTAAGAATCTTAAACGAATATTTTAAACATGTGTTATGTTTCAGGACTCAAGTGGTTTCAGCATGAGCATAAACATGTTTGTGTTTGTGCAGCTTGATAAACTGTATTGAGGAAATGAATGCTAAAAACTGCTTTGGATTTGGGAAGCTTAATTGTTTGAAGTTTTAACAGCTAATGAAATAGAGTTTTGCCTTACCCTACAAAATTAAGGGTTCAAAGGACCCTCGAATACTTGTTTCATGGGCCAATACAGGACATGTGAGGGTGCTGTAGTGTAGTGTATTGTGCTTTCAGATGTGATGATTATGTTTGAAACAGGAACGTTATATTTCTTGTCAAGAATTTGGTACATTGATATCTTTTGTGCATCCCGGAGGATGCAATACTTTTTTTTTTCTGTATCCGTTATGTACATTTGTGCATACTGGATGCTCATTTCTGGAGGACTGTTCTTTTCATAGATGAGTCCAGATTTGATATTTTCCATAATGGTGGACTTAATCATGTCAACAGATGTCTTGGGGAGCTACAGAGATCAGATTCTCAGACCAGAGGCAATTCTTTGCTTCAACATCATGGATCAGAACTGACATTCCAACAGAATAATGCCTGTTCTCACATAGCTAGGGGGGCCTATGACTTTCTTCAACAGCACAATGTTCAAGTACTGCCTTGGCCTGCAAATTCACCAGGTCTCTCCCCTATAGAGCATGTGTGGGATGAAATGGAGCAACGTTTACGCCAGTGTGTCTGTGATGCACTGCTGTTCTCACTGCTCATGGTAGGCATAATCCGTCAAATTTGGTGTGTTGCCAGAGTGAAGTTTCAATAACAACAAAACACTTCGTTTTTAATACCAAAAATGTTATTAAAAAGTTCTTTGATTTACAAGGCACCTACCCTGACCAAAAAAATGATTTTTTTTCAGCTATTTTGTTTTGTTAGGAACAATTGAAAAATATTACTGCATTTAAAAATATGTTTAAGTATTCTAGCTCTGTATCTTGTCTATCCATTTTGGTGATAGTAGGCATATATTTACCACATACAACATGAAAATATGACCCTGTAAGAGTAGCACCGTATCAATCGTTTTAAACCTTTTTGTTTTTTGGAACAAAGTTTTCATGTCTAATGTCTACAAAAGAGTAAAACATCATCAAAATACACATACATAGTCATTGTCATGGTGAAACACGTCTTTCCATCCCCCAAAAGTGACAATAAAGTTAAAAAAGAACAGTTTACAGCTTTTATATAAATATGCTCAGCCTTGAAATTTGAAGGTCATGAGACACAAATGTATGTAAATGTATTTCAAAGAATATCTAGAGTTCTACCTGTAGAATTAGCATGACATTTTATGCGGGACTAGAGCAAGGGATAAGTTATCACTATACATTTTGTTTTCCACACAGAAAACATTAATAAAAAAATAATTTAGCAGTCAAACACACCCGCTCAATAAAAAAGTTACTACATTTCTTTCCAGACATATATTTGCAAGGATATTTTAAAAAATATTTCTACTCTTCTGAAAAATATTTGTATGCATTGTAGTTGTTTATTGGCATCATGTCTATCTGTTTTTGCAATAAAAGTGAGATATCTAACACATGATAGCAAAATCTGTCACTGTACCCAACTATGCTGTTTCAGCACCATCACAAACTGATCACATATGACATGTATTCATGACTAGAAAAAGTCAATAAATGCATACAAGGCAAGTTAAAGTCTCTGGAGAGTAGTAGATATAATGACAGTCCGAGATCAAGTCCAACAAAAGCCTCTGCAAAGCTTTATTTCACAAATAAAGCTTTTGTCAGACCCTTAGATCTCGCCCCAGTATATCTACTACTTTTGAGCCCCCAGTTAACTTCCCGGCCCGGCAATACTGTGCCGCTATGTCGTGTTGGCAGGAGGTAACATTGTACCGTACGGTATGATCAATAATTCCTCTTTAACGAACCCTCTCCCTGGCCCATCTCTCAAGTAGTACAAGTTCGGCTCGTCTGCTTTGATGTCCACTTTATCTATATTGTAAGTTTTGACTGACCATATCGGATCGGTGGCTCGCTTACGACTATCCCCTTCGTGTTCCCCCGGCTGGTAGAGGTACCTCACGAGGGCCCTATCTGGTATCTGTTTCTCCTTCCCACGCAATGGTGCAGCCGACTCTGCCACTATTGATTTTAGTTTGATAGCGTCGGCTGGTTTCTTGCCGGTGAGTCGGGTGATTTCGTGGTTGATGGCCGACACCACCTGAGGTAACCGCGCTACCCATTCAGTCGATCGTTTCCCCGGGTTGGTCATCTCTCTCGCATACTGATGTCCCAATAAGCGCTCGGCCAAAGTCCTATTGAATCTCTCAACTATGGCTTGGCTGCGATGGGCTCCGGCCGCGCCACGCCTGACCTTGGTATCGTGTTTGTCTAGCAGGTGTGACACGACACCCATGAACTCCTGCCCGGGGTCAACTTGCAGCTCTGTGGGCCACGTCAGCGGACTGCGCTTGTACATGCATTCAAATCCGCGGGCTACCTGGGCCGAGTCTTTCGCGGTCAAGGGTTTCGGCTTCCTTGTAGCGACTGGCCACGTCCACGATGGTTAAGGCATACTTGTACCTCTTATCGGGGGGTAGGAATAGGAGGTCGGCCTGGTGAACGCTATTGGGTATGTTAATACCGAACTTCCTTCTAGGCACGTAGCGTGGTGCTGGTAAATAGATCTACCACAGGGCTTGTTTTTCAAGCCACGCTTTGGCCTCGTTTGGGGGTACTCGCGCCATTTTAGCCAGCTTATGTACGGCGCTAGCTCCTTTCCAGTACCCACGCGGGCTGTAGTAAATATCCTCAAACTTTCTTTGGTTCCGTGACATCCCGACATATATACACCTATGTTCTTGGTTCAATTTTCTCATGCCCGTACGCGTACGTGTTGATCCCATCAATAGCTATCCAACGCTTAGTGTCCATCGGCGACAGGGACGTCTTGTTTATAGTCAGTCCGTATATCCTATGCCCATCACTTCTAAGCGTGTTCATTTTATGTCTAAAGGTACGGGTCTTGAAAAGGGCTTCCTTGAATCTGGCGTGTTTGATGTGTTGTTTCACCACGTACTTCTTAACACCCTTCGCCTTCCGGATCTCACCATTGTCGGCCTTCAGGATGGAGTACATCTTGGGCCTCAAGCCTATGTACTCTGCTATGGGCGTGCCAGCACACTCGTCCTTCATCTTACCGAGGACCTTTTTATTTACCGTACTGTGTATGGTCCTTGGGGTAGTCGCTGGTGTCATACAAATCGAGGCGTTTTTTCATGTCCTCGTACACGTCCTCGGTTCGAATCTCCATTAGCAGGGAATCCGTGTCAGTGTACAGCACTTCACACCTGTGGCCGTACTGTTTCTTGAGCTCGTTGTAGTAAAAGTCGTACATCAGGCGTTTGGATAAATCGAGGATGCTCATCCCCACGTAAACAGGCCGGTTGAATTTGATGTGGCTTTTCTTCATGTGTAGGGCAACTAGGTCGTCAGTGAATATCTTGCTCCGGTTGAATGCCGGGCTGGCTATCAGTCTCCTGAGCTTGTCTTCCTCATTCGACCGAACCAGCTTCACGATCACGCATTTTCTCAGGTTCTCCATAGTCTTACCAAACACTGAGTTGTTCATGAGCTTGTAGAGGTTTTTCTCAAAGTCACTGGTGGCAAGCTTTCGCAGGTCTGTGTTTATTCTGATGTAAGGCTCCATCCAGGGGCTCTGGTTGAACACGAGCACCCTGTGTATTTTGGTCAGCCTCATACCCAACGACAGGTACAGCTGTAGGTTGCGATAGTGAACGATGTACTTGGTCTTATCCATTAAGATGGGCACTAGTATTTCAACGTCTGCCACCCGCCCACCTA